TTATATTTTCCCTATAAATATAGTCTCTACGATTTTTCATTCACAAACAATTTCTCTCTAACTAATTATCTCCTTTCATTGCAGATAATAGTATTCCATGACAGCTAACAATGCAGATCAGGTCGTCTTTGATAAGGTTGCTGAAATCAATGCATCCAAAGAGTCTTGGAACATACGTGTTAAAGTCGTCATGTTTTGGAAGCCGACCTATATAAACAATCCTAATATGGTCGCAAGCCTAGACATGATTTTAATTGACCAGGAGGTACTGTTTTTACACACTTTATTTTTTAGATTGTTAAATTCTTATGTTATTTCTATTAAAAAAATTTTAAATCGATTTCTGTTATGCTTTTTTACTTCTATTCATATAATTTTAATAATCAACTTTATTATTTTTAATAATAAACTTTAGTCTATTTAATGAAATCTCTTATTATTCCTTTCTTTTTTTATCAATCGGATAAATTTACAATTATTCAAAATCTTGTGATTTTGGTTCCTGATCCCTTCAATGGAATTTATTCTATGTAATGAAATCTATTATATAGCTTTATTAGTTTTAATAATCAATTAAATATGTCGGTTTCTTCATATTATTAATTGTGTCAGGTCATATAATCAGCCGGTCACATTGTTTGGATACCTGTAACTTTGTTTCTTTTAAACGATAAAACAAAATAGGTTGGTTTTTTTTAACAAAATTAATAATAATAAAATGTTTTTTTTGTATATAATGAAATAATAGGTTGGACTTTACTGAATATTTCCTGACAGAAAAATATGGATGTTTATCGATTTCAGTTCTTCTCTTTTATTTCTATGTTATTAAATTTGTTGATACTTTATCTTTAAATTTTATTTCTATTTTATTAAATTTTAATTAACAGTATTATTTTTTTCTATTTTTAATACTTTTTTTACACTTTTTTATCTTTCAAGATAAAGAAGTTTTTTATTGTAACACTTCAAACTGCATGAACAAAGTCATTTCTGTTGTTCCCAGGTTTTGAAACTTATTTTATAAATATTATTATATTGTTTTGTTAAATTATATAAATTTATATTACTAAATCTGTTTACATCAATGCTTTCAGTTTTAAAATCACCATTATAGTTGAAGATATTACCGGTTCGGTCTCACTTACTTTATATGATTCTGACGCAAAGAAGCTTATAAAAAAGCGCACAAGAGTTGGTTCATCAGTTTCATGAGGTTATATATATTAACTTCATTTACATAAAACAACTTTATTATTTTGTATATCTATTTTTATAAACGTTCTTTTTTTAGGATGGTAATAACGAAATTTATCCATCTGCTACATGGCAATGGAGGGAGTTTCAAAATATCCAGTTACCATCATCTGTTTATCCTGTTTCTGATGAAGCAGTTACAAGTGGCGGTGTCGTTTACTTCTTATTATCTAATGATACCATATTGCGATTTGATATTTATTCAGAAGAACATATACTCATATTTACACCTTCTATTATTAATGACTTCAGACCGTATGCATCTAGACTGATCAAGTTTCACGGAAAATTGGGATATTTCTCTGTAAGTGGAGATCATTTGTGGGCTATTTGGGTTTTCATTCAAAATCGGTGGGTTAAAGTAGATGTTAGTAACTACAATGAAGGTGCACATGAATGGTGGGATTATAGAAACAGTACCCTATATTTCTTTAAAGGAAATACGATTGAGTATGTGGTTCCGACACATCCTTCTCAACAAGTTTTTTCAATCCGTTCTGATTTTGATAAGGTGACTATGCCAAGTAGATATTAGTGATTATATATATTTTAATTTGCATTCGAACATAGTTGTTTTTTTCGTAATGAACTATTTAAATATTTTATAGTACTCTATGATTTATTAGTTTTTTTATTTATTCTTTTAGTTGTTATGAGGTTAAAATAGCTATTGTAATGTATGATAATGAATTTAAAATAGCTATGGTAATGTACTTTTAATTGTCATGCTTCCTATGATGTAATATATGTTTACAATTCTATGTTTTTTTATACGCTCCCTCGCGTTTAACGCGGGTTATAATCTAGTTAAATGGACATGGGTAAATCATATAACACAATTATACTACGAAGATAAATTAAAAGGCTATGAGGGTACGAGTACAACCCTCAACAAGCATAATATTTCAAATTTGCTAATGCTCAAATCATATTAATTTATATTTGAGAAATTAAATTTCTTCTTACTTTTTATGCCTACAAATGATAAAATTATGACAGGTGTCATCTTTCCATATTTTTTTAACTAATATATCAAATAAAACTAAATTGAATGATGATTTGTCATAATTTAGTGGGTAGGAATAATTGTAGGAATAAAAAATAGGAGGTAATTTAATTTTTATTTATATTTATATTGATTAATATAATATTACCACAAAAGAGATTTTCACAGGAACTTGGCAACAGAAATATTCCGCTGCTCTTAGACACAAAACCACGGATTAGCGACATATATCCCACAAAAAATATTGTTTGGTAAATAAATTACTTTTTACGAATCGCGAAGGATTTTTGTCCGTGGTATGTCACAAATTTTTACAATATTACATTTGGATTATCAATGAAATTTGTTGGTGATTAGGGTTCACACCCAAGATTTTTAGGATTTAATTTAAGTCACTTTTGTATCTCTATTTATATGACGGTTAACTCTCATTATTAATGAAAAGCAATCTATTTTACAACATTGAATCAGAGCATTCGGTTAAAACCCTACTGCTAACAACAAACCGCAGTCACGGCCTTCCACCTCCGGCAACCTTCTCTTATAGTTATTGGAGGTGCATTCATTATGTTTAGGGAAAATGACACATACGCCCTATGAAGTTTCTAGAGTTTACTCTTTTATTCACTTAACTTTTTAAGTGGCTTTTTAAGGGAACAAATTTGGTTCTGTCGGGTCCAATATGTCCATTTTGAGAAAACGAAGGGGTAACCCGGTTACCCCTTATGTCAGCTCATTTATTTTTATATTTTAATAAATTAAAAAATTAAAAGGTCTCACAACATCTCTCTCTCTCTCTAACATTTCTCTCTTGACCTCAACACCACTCTCTCTAACTTCTATATCCCTTCCTTACCCTCCTCTTATTTTCTCAACTTAAATCAATCTTGCTCCACCATTGCCATCACCTTCTTCCTCACTGGAAACCACCATCGTCCGTCATAGAACCAACGCAACCCCACCCCAAACAACCCTGATATATGCACCTTCTTTCCTATTCGATCACCGCGGGATTGGGAAGGCGGAAGCAGCGGAGCTGCGGTGCTACCACCACTCATCGTCGTTGCTGTGGTGGGTGGTACCCATCATCACCGGTGATATTCAACACCCATCACTCCTGTTGTTCTTGGCTTTAACAGGTGACGACAATAAGAGAGTAATGACCATGAGGAGCTCGTCGGAGGAGACCTATGGAACTATTCTTCTTAATTTTCGACCTAAACACCTCCAAAATAGAAAAACAACGGATAAGGAACTATATATATTTGTTTAGGACCGAACCCATCACCGGGACAATCCCGTCGGAACTTTTCATGTCACCGGCCACCATGGCAGGTGTTGACTGTTCTTGGAGATTTTTGAATGAGTTCTGAACAGAAAAGAAAAGGGGTTACCTAAGATTGATGGAGGAGTAAGGAAAAACGATTGGAAGCTTCTTGAAGGTCGAAAAGAGATGAAGACAGGAGGGAAAATGGTGATTCTCGTTGGTTCTTCTTCTCCGGTGAACAGTGTCGACGGTCCTGTTTGGGGTCGGAGGCTTGCTTCAACTGGCCATGGCGGTGGTTTGGTGGTGATTGGATCAGTCTGCCATCAAAATAGAAGGAAGACAAGAGGATGGACTGAAGAAGGCAACAACTTTGCTTGTTGTTGGGTTTTTTCTGGTGTTCAGGAGGAACACGAGAGAGAGAGAGAGAGAGACACAGAGAGAGAGAGAGAGAGAGAGTGTGTGTGTGTGTGTGTGTATGTGTGTGTGAGAGAGAGAGAGAGATGGGTGGGACCCAAGTTTTGTCTATGCGTCCCCTAAACCGGCTAAAACAAGTAAAGGGGACTAAAAGGACAGGTTGCCCACAACTTGGTTCCCTCATAAAGCCACGAAAAAACTTATGTGACTAAAAGGGTCAACCTTAAACAATTTGTAGACTATATGTGTCATTTTCCCTTATGTTTAAATATGTTTCCCTTACTTCTCTCTCTTCCTAAATAATAATACAGCAGCGACACCAAACCATACCTCCTTCATCGGCTTCTTCTACTGTCTCGTTTACTTTTGTCTACTCAGACGACTTCTTCTTCAGATCTCTTTTCCGAGTCAACATCTTTCGTTGTTGTCGGTGACTCCTTCTGATGGCACCTTCTCCATCAATCTGCAATCGTCTCCCTCTCCCTCTATCAACAGTTCAGTCGTCGATCTCTCTTGAATTGGCTCCGTCCACCGCAACTAGAGCCATCTGTCTTTTTCGTTTCCTTTCTCAGAACTCCCCTACCGTCGGCTCCATGAGCTTCGCCGTTGCCACCGACTCTCACTTCTTCTACAACGGAACCACCTCTGGCCTCCGCTCAGTAACGGACACACGAAAAATACGAGTGGTTGCACAATTTTTTTTAAAGGTTGCACTACTAAAAAAGATCATTTTCGACGACAATTTTCGTCACAAAATCCATCGGTGAAAGGGTTACATTGACATGTCTACATTAAATTTACACTTATTAAGAATTAGTTTAGAGAATTTTCAATGGATTCATGACAGATTTATAATGGATTTGTGACGAATTTACATTAAATTTTGCACTTGGTGGTAAAGTTGGAAGCGTTGCTCTCGCCATCCTGGGATACCATGTAGCTCCGCCCATGCCTCCGTTTCTTCTCTCTTCTTCATCAGAGCTCTGCCACCGCCGTTGCCATTGTCTTCATCTATTTTTTATGTTTTGTTCTTTTGCTTATGTTTTTTTTTCCAATTTAATCGTCTTCTACAAAGCAAATCGCGGGGAATGTTAGTGATTAGGGTTTAAGCCCAAGGTCATTAGGGTTTAGTTTAAGCCACTTTTGTATCTCTATGATAGTTAACCATCATTATTATTAATAAAAATCAATCTATTTTATAACTGTAATATATAAAATCCGTCTCTAAATTAACATTTTCTATAAAAATAAATGGTCAATCACTAATCCCTTCGCTAGCTAAAGTTAAAAACCTAAAATTACTTTTTAATTTCAACGATCAATGTTCTCTTGTGTCAAAAGGTTGTTTTGAAGTAGTGATAGATCTTTAAACTTTTTTGGATATATTGACATGTCAATGTCATCTTAGAATGTAATCGACACCATTAAGCAAAGAATGAGAACATATTGTTCGTGAAAAGAGACCATATGCAGAAAAAAATTAAAAAAAATAAAATAATAAAAAAAAATAAAAAACATTTTTTAACTCATCTATTTGATTAAATTGATTAGAGTTTCAGACCACAAACCAGAGAAGTAGCTCTTTCTGCACTTGGCATTATAAGTGTCTTGGTTCTCAATATCTTGGATCTTATTTGCATCGTGTAAGCGGTTGTCCTTTGTTGGCACATCTTTAAAATAAAGGAGTAGTAATTAGATGATGATAAACAACATAACCAATTACATCATGAAAACATTGCATGAGTTATCATGATCCACAAAGTACAAATTATCATGCTATCATGGTTTTGATCAGATCATAATTCATTTCAGCGGATAATAGATAAACATATCACTAATTAATCATGCCAGGATTATGATCCTTACGACACATCTAGACTAATAAAACGAATTTAGATCAAGTGAAGAAATTTACAAGAATAAACAAATCTTTGGTAGAAGTTATATCGCATTCCACTATAATATGAGTCCGACTTGTTCGCAATACACGTCAATGGAAACATAGTCTTGCTCTTTGTTCTAGCCATATCAGGGTACTTCATGATCAGTTCATATGAAACATCTGCAAAGAGAATTACAAAGAAAATAGATATAGAAAGGATGTGTATCAGTGTATGTGGATACTTTAAGTTTGTTGGATGATTAATTGTATATTCAAAAGTAGGATGTTTCTTGTCATCTACTAAATTTCAAGAAACATGCCCACTATAATTGATCTTTTGATTTTCTTGTAAATGTCAATTAATAAAAGTCAAGTATGTAATACGAATTAAAGAACTCACCCAAAAACCCGGAAGAAATTGCACTATTGAGAATCAAAGCACCATTTACGCCCTCAAATGGACTATGAGATCCATCTTGTTGAGAGAGCTCAATATGTTGTTTGCATACATCAAACAAATATAAGAAAGTTGTTCTGTGAGAATTCAGAATCGCTATGTGGATAGGTAACAAGTCTTCCCCGCTCAATATAAATAACAAACGTGGATTTTTCTCCACCAACATCCTTGCAGCCTTGGTGTTGTCAACAACTGCAGCTCGGTGTAGTGGGTTGAATTTCTGATTATTAGTCACTAGTGTTGGAAGTGACTCCGGTCTTATCTCCTTCAACAGGTTCTCAACAAACTGAATATTTTCCGCATTATTTATTGCAATGTGAAGTACGGTATAGCCATACTTATTGAGTTTAGCGGTCAATGCATCCGTGTCCTGGTTGAAAATTTCTTGGGCTTTTTCCCAGTCGTTCCTCTTAATAGCTCTATATAGCGGGAGGTACTCAGCCCTATCTATATATTTACTTAAGAAAAGATGACATCAGTTCATGGAGAAATTAGCAAGAATGAAAATAGAATACTGGGGTGCAGTGTACCTTTTTTGACGGCAGTGCTGGGGGTACTGGTGTTGGTCGTAAGAGAAGCCGGGTAACTGGAAGTAGTGTTTAGGTCGGTAGTCAAGTTGTTGCTGGTGGTACTGGTGGCGTTGTTGCTGTTGGGGTTGAAACACACTTTTATTCAGAACTAGAACAAAAGAGAAGAGCTTACACGCTCAATATTACAAGAAAAAGAAACAACCCTCTAATACTCACTCTAAGTATTACACACTACACTCTCTGTTTGTGGTGTCTTACAACTGAGGTTAGAGCCTCTATTTATACTTAAACAAGCCTACAATTACTACTGCTACCATTTATTGTGTTCATTATGTGAACATACGAAGTTGTCATTTGAGTTCTTATTGTCAACATAGATAGAGGCGCAGCTACTGATGTCAGGTTCACACCAAGTCTGGTTTACACTCACATTCTCCCCCTTAAACCGAACCTGGCTAGAGATTTGTCACGCCGATCATGTTTCGCATTTCACTATGTTTCACGTATGCTAAAGCCTTTGTAAAGATGTCCGCCCGTTGATCCTTCGAGTTGACATATTCCACTATAATTTGCCCACGTTCAACACATTCTCGTATGAAGTGATAACGAATGTCAATGTGTTTGCTTCGACCATGAAACACAGGATTTTTCATCAATGCGATTGCTGACTTGTTATCGACATATAAGGTGATAGGCATAATATGATGTCTCGTGAGCTCCTTCACGAGATTAGCAAGCCAAATGGCTTGACATGCTGCTGTTGTAGCTGCCATGAACTCGGCTTCACACGTGGACAAAGCAACAGTCTTTTGCTTTTGGGATTGCCAAGTTATCGCATTCCTTCCCAGATAGAAAATCATTTCACTTGTGCTCTTGCTATCAACAGGGTCACCTCCAAGATCACTATCGGTAAAACCAACCAAATCTTCAATTTCACGACCTCTTCCATAGTTGATTCCATAATCAACGGTTCCTTTTACGTATCGCAAGATGTGTTTCACAACTTGGAAATGCAAAGTGGTTGGTTCCTCCATGAAACGACTTGCAATTCCAACCGAAAATGACAGGTCTGGTCGAGTGTGAGTCAAGTACCTCAAACAACCTACCACTCGCCTATATTCAGTTGGATCAACTTTTTCACCATCTTCATCCTTCTTAACCTTCAACTTAGGTTCCATTGGTGACGTTGTCGGATTGCAATCCAGCAACCCAAATTGCTCTAAAATCTTCTTTACATAAGCCGTTTGTCGTAAAGATATTCCCCACTTCTTTTGCGAAACTTCGATTCCAAGGTAGTAAGAAAGTAATCCCAAGTCACTCATTTCGAATTCTTTCTTCATTTGTTCTTTGAATTCGACAACATCATTAGTGTTCGACCCGGTAATGATCAAGTCATCAACATAGACACCAACAATAAGAATTTTGTCTTTTGAGTTCCTTTTGTAAACAGCTGGGTCTTGTGAACTTTTTGTAAAACCAAGCATTTTTAAGCTTTTATCCAAACGAATGTTCCAAGCTCGAGGAGCTTGTCGTAGACCATAAAGAGCTTTATAAAGCTTGAACACCTTGTGACTGTTTGCTTTATCAACATATCCTTCTGGTTGGGTGACATAAACCTCCTCTTTGAGATCTCCATTGAGAAAAGCCGATTTGACATCGAGATGGTGGACAACCCACCCATGTTGAGCTGCTAAGGCAAGAATGAGCCTTACGGTGTCAAGTCATGCTACCGGTGCAAAAACTTCATCAAAGTCGACTCCTTCCTTTTGTACAAATCCTTTTGCTACAAGTCGAGCTTTATGCTTCACCACTTTTCCCAAGTTGTCTTTCCTCACTTTAAACACCCATTTCAAACCGATTGCTTTGTGTCCGGATGGCAAATCGGTAAGTTGCCATGTCTTGTTCTTCTCGATTGCATCCAACTCTGTTTGCATAGCCTCCTGCCATGCCTTAGAGGTTACCGCCTCTTTAAAATTCAAGGGTTGATCCGCTGCAATCATCAACAATTCTCCGGGTTCAAGGAACACATTTTCGATTTCAGAATAAATATCGGTTAACGGACGCAATCCCCTTGGCCCAATCTCACTAGAAGGGCTTTCCATATGGGGAGAGGTTGAAGAAAACGGGGCTGAGACAGGAGTATGTGGAGCTGGTTCAGGCTCGTCAAATTCAGCATATGGTTGTCCAACTTGGATAGCATCGATTCCTGGGCTGTTTGGTTGTTCCGGATTGATTTCGGGGTCATTTTGAGGTGTTTCGAGGTGTATTTGGGGTTGTGGTTCAATTATGGTAAAGGTCTTAGGAGTCGCCATCTCTTCTTCTTTGTTTTTGTACCAATTCCATTCTTCTTTTTCGTCGAAAACAACATCGCAACTAACTCGCAACTTTCGGTCTTGCGGATCAAACAAACGGTTGCCTTTAGTTCCATCTTCCACACCTAAATACACCATCTTCTTACTTCGATCATCAAGCTTCTTCAAGTGACCACCTACAAGTTTAGCAAAAGCAACACAACCAAAAACTTTTAGATGTTCAAGGTTGGGCTTTTTGCCAAACCACGTTTCATAAGGCGTCTTGTCGGGAAGTACTTTTGTTGGCAGGCGGTTGAGAAGATAAACTGCATGTCTAACCACTTCTCCCCAAAACTCTCCCGGAACATTTCTACCTTTGAGCAGACTTCTTGCCATGTCCATAACGGTCCGATTTTGCCTTTCTACAACTCCGTTCTGTTGAGGCGAATATGGTGTCGTAAGATGCCTTTGAATACCATTTTCTTCACAAAATAATGAGAATTCTTTTGAAGTGAACTCTCCCCCTCGGTCCGTTCGAAGTGTCTTTATTTGATAACCCGAATTCTTTTCAACCATCAACTTGAACCGTTTGAAAGCGCTCAAGGCTTGAGACTTCTCCGATAGCATGTAAACCCACATCCACCGGCTAAAATCGTCTACTAAAAGGAGAAAATATTTACTCCCTCCAACAGACGTAGGTGTGATCGGACCACATAAGTCCGCATGAACAAGTTGTAGAGGTTTTTGAGCTCGAAAAACTGCATGATCCGGGAAAGGAATTCGGGTTTGTTTGGAAAGAACGCACCCTTCACATACTTGATTTGGGTGCTCAATCTTTGGGACTCCGATTGCCATATTCTTTTCGGACAACTTCTTTAAGGCGAGAAAGTTAACATGACCGAGTCTAGAATGCCATATCCAAACTGGTTCGTCTTTTGTTGCTAAAAGACAAGTCGGTCTACCGGTCCTTAAAGGAGTTTTATATAACCGGTTTGGGGATCGTTTAACTCTCAAAAGTAGAGTTTTGTTTCTGTCAAACAATGTCAGATCCGACCCATCCATTATGACCCGACTCCCTTCCTCCGTCATTTGTCCAAGACTAATAATATTGTTTTTTAGACTTGGAATGAAATATACCTCATTAAGGAGTCTTTGGTCGCCATTTTTGCTATCGAATAAAATCGACCCTTTTCCCAAAATAGCGACGGTCGAACCATCCCCAAATTTCACATGGCCCGTAACGTGCTCATCTAGTTCGCGAAACTTTGAGCGGTCTCCAGTCATGTGATTGCTAGCACCGTTGTCGAGATACCATACCTCAGACTCGACTCGACTTTCTCCCGATACAAGAAGATTAACACAAATCTTCTCTCTTAGAGACACTTTTTTGTGTGCATATTCTTGTGAGGTTGCCATCATTAAAATAGGCTCTTCTTCGTTGGCTTGAGTGAGGTTTGCCTCCTCACCTCGATTCTTGTTTTGACACTCCGAAGCATAATGACCAAATTGTTCACAAGTAAAGCATTTGATTTTACTTTTATCCTTTCGAGAAGGATTATGGTCATTCCGATTTGTATTGTACTCGCGACCACCTCCTTGGCCACGTCCACGACCTCGGCCTCGTCCCCGGCCTCGGTTACCATGTCCTCCTCGTCCTCTTGAAGTGTTTGACGAGTTTCTCTCGCCAGTTTGCTTCGAACGAGATGCCCACTCGGCATGTGTAAGCAATAGAGAATGTCCTTCTTCTTTTTCTCCATAGCTTCGAAGTCTCTCTTCATGGGTCTTAAGACGACCCACAACTTCTTCCACCGTCATATTCTTCAAATCTCCGAATTGCTCGATCGATGTTACGATTTGTATAAATCGTATCGGTACGGCTCGCAAAAACTTCTTCACAATCGTAATTTCTTCAATCTTTTCACCTAGAGATCGAATACCGGTTACGATGGTATTCAATCTCATGGAAAAATCATCTACCGATTCACTGTCTTTCATCCGGATCACCTCGAAGTCACTTCTCAAGGTTTGAGCTTTAGCCTCCTTGACCCGATCGGCTCCCATGTGCATCATCTTGAGCGTTTCCCATGCTTCTTTAGCTGTGTCCTTCTCAGCTAACATCAGAAGTACGTCCTCTGGAATTGCTTGATAAATAGCCGCAAGAGCCATCCGATCTTTACGTTCGTCCGTTTCTGTATTTTTAATTACATCCCATACTCCTTGTGCTTGTAAATTCACTCGCATTTTTATGGCCCACACCGCGTAGTTCATCTTCGTGAGCATTGGATAGTGTAACGTAACGCTACCATCTTTCCCGGTCCTTTGAAAACTTTCAACTCCGGCTTGAGAAGATGACGAGGTTGGTGTAGTCATTCTTGGCATATACTTGGGCATACACGAGTAAGAATTTTTTTTGTTTGAAGTACGGGGACCAATATGAACTTTTCAAAAGTTCAGGGGGCAAACAGAACTTTTACAGAAGTAAAACAGGGGCTAAATTGAAATTTTTCTGAAAAACGGGACCAAAATTGTAATTTTTCTGAAAAACAGGGGCTAAATTGCACTTTCCGGAAGAACAGGGGCTAAACTGCAATTTCCAGAACTTTGGTCAGCTGCTGACGTCACTGCTGATGTCACTGCTACAGTGTCGTCTTCTCCGGCGGTTTTTTCGGCGACTTTTCCGGCAGATTTGACCAACTTTGATCGGTGATTTGGAGTCCTTCCGGTGGTCAAAAAATTCAAAAAAATATATTTACGGAATCCTCAGAACGAGACATTTCCAACGGTGTACTCCGAAATTGTTTTTGAGACAAAAAAATTTCGACCAAAAAATAGAGAATGCTTCCCCCAGAGCTTAACCAAGCTCTGATACCACTTGTTGGGGTTGAAACACACTTTTATTCAGAACTAGAACAAAAGAGAAGAGCTTACACGCTCAATATTACAAGAAAAAGAAACAACCCTCTAATACTCACTCTAAGTATTACACACTACACTCTCTGTTTGTGGTGTCTTACAACTGAGGTTAGAGCCTCTATATATACTTAAACAAGCCTACAATTACTACTGCTACCATTTATTGTGTTCATTATGTGAACATACGAAGTTGCCATTTGAGTTCTTATTGTCAACATAGATAGAGGCGCAGCTACTGATGTCAGGTTCACACCAAGTCTGGTTTACACTCACAGTTGCTTGAGGAAGCCATTAGGTTGAAAGCATATGCTAATAATTACACCTGGTGAGATATAAATCTATATATAACTCTAGGGTTGGAGATACTTCGCTTGTCTATTTTTCATTGCCAACACAAACAAGAAAAGAATATTGCAACTAAAGTAAATAATGTTGATTCCTTACGTATGTGGTATGTGTATACTCCTCTATATGGTTAAGGAATTTTGGTGTGTCATATTAGTCGTGAAGTTGACGAAGACATGGGATTTGGCGTACCAATGTGAAGAAATATTGTTATCGATGGTGGATAATTAAGACATACTGGGATTTAGGAAAGTTTCTAATTTTTCATATTTTGGTAATGTTGTAGTAGGATTCCAACTAGTTAAGTATAAATGGATAGAGATTAGTGTCCGTAACCATAATAAACTGGTAATATTACTATAAATAACGATGTTATTTTCGGTTATACCAAGAGCAAAACAAAACATATTTATTTTTTGGGACTTGTTTTATTAATTAATTAATCAGAAAACAAAAAAGAATTTAGAATATTCCAGAATGTTTTAATTATTAGATAATTACCAAAAGCCTAAATAATTACAAATATATTTTATAATTATCTTTAGGGGTTTCCAAACACCGCCTATATATAGGTGGGTCAAAACCCGGTTTTGGACGCATGAGAAATTTATTTTGGATTATAGGTTACAAAAATAATGTAGTTGCGAAATTTCACATAAACACTTATGGGGACATGCCACCTATAAACATTCTATGAATTTTTACTATTATAGCAACATATTTATGAAATAAAACTAAACCCTATTGTAAACAAAAATTACAAGTAGGAAACATACATTTGCTTAAATCGAATTAAGTTAAAAGGTCTCTTGAAGTCTCTTTAGAAAACTAGTTTCCATTGTATGGTAGCCTCTAATGCGTCGCACCTAAAAACCTAGGAAACCCTAGGATCGAATATAGGAGAGAGGGGAGAGGGGAGAGGAGAAAGATTTCTTCTTATGAGAGGGTTAGGATCATATTTCGAAGGGGTTATGCCTCTTTATATAGCTATCAGATAATCCCTAAAACCCTCGATTTGAATTAAAAATAATAATATATTAATCCAATGCATATCTACTTTCCTTATTTAACTAGGAGGCTTCCAGAACTCTTCTAGAGGAGCCCATAATTCGGCCACCTAACGAAGATCCTTTCATTTGCTCAACTTTTGAACAATTGCAGTCTAGTCCTTGTACCTTTAATTAATTCTAATTAACCCAAAATTAATTTCAAATTAATTCTGACTAATTCTTAATTAATTAATAATTATTTCTAATTAATACACTACAAAAATACGTCATTTAATGGCACACAAAAAATGCCACTAAAGTCTTCTCAAAGAATGTGCGGCACACGTAATAAGTATCACTAAAGTCTTCTCAAATGGAATGAACCATTCCATTTCTTTTGCAATCCCCTGCTATCCACCTTCTAATATAAACTGATATGTTTGGATATTTGACTACAAATGTTTTTTAGACCAATTAGAAACATGAGTATTGTTTAAGATGCAACTGCTTCACATTCTTATTATAGCCTAATGTTTGGTGGAATAGAATAGGAGAAAATAATAGCAAGGGAAAGATAACGGAATAATAACTTATGTAAAAGAATTAATAAAACTATTCTCATATTTTCTGATATTTACCTGTCAATGGCTTCTTTGTGTCATAGTTGTCCATTTGTACCTCCCTCGAATTGCATAAGAAAGATGGTTCTGGAGATAAATCCTACCCGCAAGCATTTGCTTATAGAATGGTGGATACACATTAGCTCTTTTAGTAATAGCAAGTGTATGCCTCCATCCTAGGGATGAGCATACGACCCGTTGGACCGGACCGGACCGGAAAAAAACCGGGACCGGACCCGGACCGGACCGTATATTTATATTAATGGGTCGGTTTTCGGGTTTTGTTTTTACCACTAATCGGGTTTCGGGTTTGGACCAGACCGTACCCGAAATATTTAACCCGGACCGGACCGGAAAACATTTTCACCTTAAAATATATAGATAAGGATATTAAATTATTAGTTAATGTTTTATCGGAACATTATGTATAAAGCTTGATGTTTTTATTGGAAGTTGTAACATTATTTACAAATCTTGATCAACGTATGTCCCTATCATTTTATAAGAATGAATGTATCTAGCATGTTATTTTTTGTTAAAATATGCAGTTTTTTATAAAAACATGTATTTTTTTTATAAAAGCATGCAGTTTTTTGTAAATAATGTTGTTTTTTGTTGTTTTTTTACACATCAAAGCTGTTAAAGTGTAATTTTTTTATTAACAATGCTGTTTTTTTTGTTAAAACATGCAATTTTTTTATAAAAAGCGCAGTTTTTATGCTAAATAGTGTGGTTTTTATTTGTTCCAAATTTTAATAACCTTTGTATTTTTTTTGTAGACACCTCATTTGCACGTGATCTACGTAAAGTCCCGCGGTGTACCGATTTCAAAGCCTAATTCGGTCCAAAACCCAAAACCCGGTTTAGTACCCGGAACCGGACCGGACCGAACCCGATACACCCAAAAACGGTCCGTTTTTTGGGTAAGAAAATTCACGATTTTCGGTCTTCGGGTTTTCGGTCTTTGGACCGGGTCGGTCCGGGTTTGGCCCGTTGCTCATCCCTACTCCATCCACAAGAAATCTGAACTACTTTATGTGAATAAATAAAATAGGTGAAAATTTGTTACTTATAATATAATAAGTTTTTTTTTAATCTCCTAGATATTAAAGAAAGCAACATCACATGAAAAATTATGTGCCATCAAATCCAAACAATGGTTGTCACCACAACCAACTTTCTTTATAAGCAACCATTGTTATGATTTTATTAGCTGAGGAATAAAGAAATCAGTGGACTTACCATGGCCTAGTCTTCCAAAATCGCCCCCTGAGACCAATAAGGACAAAAAGGGGTTAAGCACTTTTAACAAAACTATTCTTCCAAACACAATTATTTAATACCAATAATTGTTAAAATGAAGCAACAGATAAGAACTAAGGGAAGATACCATCCCCAGCTGTATACATTCAGACTTGACTCTGAAAATGTAAGTATGATCAGCTCCACAAGTAGATGGGAATATTTCTTGCCCATCCACCTAACATGCATTTTCTAGAGAATGAGTAAATATGACGCATAACTTCTTACTCCTAACCATCTTACTATAAACCCCACCCATCATTAGTACATGCATATTAATATACATAAAAAGATAAAGTGCCTCAATGTACCATAAACAATATTTAAAATAAAGGACACATATGTACCATGAAATTTAACTTATATCATAATCCATTCAGTAGTTTTTCAGTTCTAATTTGTCAATTCTTATTAAAATGATTCAATAATAACATGTTTGAAGTAAGCAAGTAGCTATATGTAACCAACAATATTGTTGTAAGCAAACGGTTTTCAAACAATATTAAAATATTAAAATATTGATGCAAATCAGAAAGTTATTTAACTTTTATTTCTGAATTCGATTTGATTTCCTACCAATACTCATTATGATTTTTAATCCCACACTAACATGAAATATGGATAAAGTTGAAGTTAACTTAATAAAAAAATTATGTTTTAAAAGCAATTGTGTAAGATTAATAACCCAATGTTTACTAGTTAAAAGAGTTTCATAATTAAACTTTCTAACGGTGTAAGACAAAATATCGTATAGATATATAAATCTAAATTTATCGTTATATTTAATCAAATAAATAAAACAATTATTTTCTTTTCAAGAAAAAACTTAAGTGGGGGTTACCTAAACAATTAAGAACCGAGACCAATGACATCGAAGATTCAAAAGGGTATGGTTGATTTGATAGCTTGGACGTTGGGTTAGCAGAATATGTTAAGAGAAAAGATAAAAGAACCTTCAAAACCTGCAAAATAAGTCCAAGGGTAAAAATTTCATATCCATCCTTAATTCATAAGACAACCTGAGTACTGCATCCCAACAATTTAAACATATGTTGCATCTTGAACTTGTCCAAATGTCATGGTTTTTACAACTTTAAACACAAATTTCCTCAACAAAATATAATTTAGGTATCCACTGATGTAAGTAAATGATGAATTTCACTTTTCAGAAACCTACAAACAGAAAAAAGTAAGCTTTGACATATATGTAGTGAAGATCAACCAAAGTTACATTCAACCTGTTATTATAAAAAAAAAAGAGTTTTCTACAGTCTATTGAGATTAACATTAGAAAATGCAAAGAAATAGGTATTAAGAAACAAAGCTCAGTAACATGAAGAAATAAGTTGCGTTATCATGATAACATAGTACATTATTGTACTAATATATTATTCATTACCATAAAAAGTAGACATCTACACCTGAAATAAGATTTGAGTATTGGATTAAACTCACGCTCATCTGAATCACTTTATGGATTTTATCACGAGTGATTGTGAGACAATAATATCTAATATTCTTGAAACCAAGACATATGAGTTGTAGCTTACAAGTCGGTTGCACATTGATGATGCGTAAACGCACCAGTAACTTGGTGTTATAAAACACATTGTTGTGTGTGATTTGATGAGTAAGTAGAGCAAGCATATGAGTCAAAGTTTATCCATTCCTTTTACCCAATATGGGATAAAAGCGATATATGTGGGCCCCTCGATGATTTAGTGATGACACCCTAAGCGCTTAGCCAAACCTGGACTGATTTGATTTATTCAGTTAGTCAGTCGTCATAAATCGGAAATCGGGAAACAACATATGAACAGAGATAATGATTATAATCCATGTCTCGGTTCATACGATATCTTGTAGAATGGAAGAATATATGATCCCTTATCTAATGGAGTTCGACAACGGCTTTTTGAGTGCTACGATTGCTAGTTGATTTTTCAAGTCGTACTTGCAGTTATAATTATTAGACTTATCCAAGTGGGAGACTGTTGGATTAGGTGTCTAAGCGCATAACTATAATTGGTATGTACTTGACCCTAGAGTAGCATGGTCTATTTTGGGTTGCATTCACCAGAGCAATTTGATAGGAAGGATATTTGAGAAAGAGGTTATTTGTGATTTATTAATATATTATAAGTATAATATATTAATTGAGAAATCATATTATTTAATTAGTATTGATCATTAATTAATTTGGAATTGATTTAGTGATCAAAAGAGACTGTTTAAATTAACGGGGATTGATTATGTAAATCAGTGATACATATGGTTTGGTCTAATGATCCATGATTGATTTGTGATGGGCTAAGCTTATGAGATAGTCCATGAAGTGTTAGTCCAAATCAATTGTTGGATCATAAGCCTAAGTGTAATAATTAGGGTTTACAAGTGACTCTTGGATTTCTTCACTATATATGTGACCCCTTCAACCCTAAAATCGGCACTAGTGTTCATTTGTGAAAGCCTAGCTGTTTTTTTGGTGTCTCTTATCTCTCTCTCACAATCCTCCACTTGTTCATGGTGTCTTGTGAACCATTTGAGGCATCACACTTGAGGTGCTAAGCTCTTGAAAGGCCAAAACTCTACAAGCTACAACAAAGAGGTAATTGACTAACTTGTTTTATGTTTCAAATATTAAAGTTGTATGCTAGTTATAGGTTTCATGCTTTGGATATTTTTATTGCATGTATAAATAGAGAAAACTTAAATCCAAAGCATTAGGGTTGTATGTGCACCATAGGAGTGTTATAGTACATAAAACCAACAGAAAGTTGTTGAGTGCTACAATTCCTTGATTCCAAAGATTGATGCCAAGGCTAAGGTGGATATCAAAAGTTTTGGAAATGTTGCTACACTCTTGACTGATTTGAAGGAAATGGTTTCGAAGTCTGTCTCATCGTCTTTATTCACTCCTGAGTTTTTAACTCAGAAGCTTCGTTTACTAGAGTCAACCATTCACAATGAATTGGCTCCACTTTTAAAACTTCTCAACTTACTACCAAGGGATGCCCCGCCTGTTGTCACAGGGGTGCAAGGGGGATAATGGAGAAATGTTGGTGTAAGTAAAGGCGATGGAGCTTCTGGCAAGTCAGGAGAAGATGCGAAAGTAGTGGGAAAAATCAAGACTACTCAGATTTCGACAACTATGCCTAAGAAAACTAATCCGATTATTTCAACAACAACAACAACAAGGCCTTTGGCAAAAGGAATTGTGATCGGTGGTTCTAGTTCTTCTTCGAAACCTAAGCCTACTGAATCTGATAAAAGCAAAGGGAAGGTTGTAAGTGTTGAACAATCGAAAGAAGAAAAGAAAGTTACTGTTGAAGCTGAAATGGAAAAACAGCGTCAAATTCAAAGTATTCTCATGCGTCACAAAAATGATCCACCAATGTTAAACAAGGGAGATGTGAGGAAGTTGCATAGCTATGAAAATATTGAAGATTTGGTTGTATATGGCGAAATGCATGATTTTGAGAAGAAACCGAAGAAAAGTTATGCAACAGAAAACTCTAATTTGAATCAATTGGATTTTCCAATCAACAATATGATGTTTATTACTTCCCAATACCAGATTGTTGAGAAATTCAAAGATAAGGAGGAGTACAAGAGGTTAAAGCTTCGATTTCATGTTGTACTTGGGAAAGAAGAAGAAGAAGTTTGGTCACTTGTCAAGATAGTTCGGGTTTTGAATATTTCCAAAGATGTTTTATTTGAGGATGTACTTCAAAATTTTCACTATCATGTGGTCAGGGCCAACAACACCACAATCAACTTTTCGGTAGCTGATTTTCCTCTCATGAATCTTCATGATATGATTCAAGTTACAAGAATTCTTAAATGCATTGATACTTCAAAGCTTCAAGGTACAAGCAAAGAAGATTATTTGTTGGGTCCTGCTCACATCAAGTTGTTTATCGACAATTATTACGACTGCTTGGCTTTGACAGATGTCGAATTAGCATTGACGATGGGTAAAGAGATTATTGTGCCTCATTCTTTATTGAAGAGTAAAGTTGACTTGCAGCCTTATGATGATGGAGAGATTTGTCTGAAGCCACTTGGAATAGTCTTCGTTGGAAAAAGCAAGAAGGGAAAGAAAACGAAGTTTTTGTTTTAGGCATGTGATGTAGAAAGATATATAACAGCTCAATATACGAACTTAGTTGTTCGTATGAATAATTGTAAGAAGAACAATGAAGGAGACAAGGCAGAATTGAAGAAAGTGATGAATTGGTATGCAGAAATTTGGAGATCAATGCACCAAGCTATCCAGATGTTGATGACCTAGGTTCGACACTTCTCACAAAGGGGGAGAATGTAGACGTCGAAATTAGTTGTGAGGTGTCGAAGGTCTTGGATATTTTCGATAGTATGTAATGTATATTATAAGGGCATTTATGTTTCGAAACTATAATGTCAAGTCCCTTATATTTTTTGTATGCTTTTATCATCCCTATAAATATGGGATGTGTACTAGAGTTAGATAAGAACTTTGTTATTCCTGCCTAAAACACTCTGTACTCTTGAAAGCATAATCGAGCCAAACAGAACTTATTTAGATCTAGTGTTCATTGATTTCAAATAATTTTGATCTCGTTATTCATACTCGATTACATAACCACTAAATAAAATGAAGGAAAAAGACCTACTGTAAGTCTTTAGTATGTGATATCTAATACACAATTTGTTGTTCTAATATTTGAGTCAATCAAAGTTGTTAATTCATTTATAACGCATTTAAGAAACAATTGGTTATTTATAATGACATATTTGTTGAGAAACCAAATATTTCTAAATAATCAAAACTACGACTTCTCCTTGAGGAATAGGCGTGTTAGCTAGTAAGTTAATGACTCTCTTGTATTATCAATGTTTGTTGTATTTAATATACACATTTATTTTACAATGAAGGAAAAAGATTTAGTGTAAGTCTTGAGTCTGTGAAATCTAATAAACAATATGACATGCTAATCTTTAATCAAATCAAAATTGTTAATTCATTCATAACTCATGTAAGAAACAATTGGTTATTTGTACTGGCATATTTGTTGAGAAACCAAATATTTTTAATGAAATATTTATTGGGAAATAAAAGAAATGGTAATTTTTATTGGCTCAAAATGTTAACATGTCACATCGTTTATTAGATGTCTTGCACTCGAGACTTA